CCTTCACTTAAAGCCCCTATATGAGCAAGAGTCTAAACTTCGTAAAGAAGATTATATAGGGGTTCTTAAGGGGGATACGAGGAGTTTAGACTATAGTTCATATAATCCAAGGAAGATTGCTTCAGGCCCACAAGGACGAAACAAGTAGTAGGATACATTTCTTCTACAGTCCAGGGACTCCCCATTCGTTTATTGAGGCCTGCTATATGGGAAATTGGGGGATACCCTTGTTGCGGGTCCGTATCATAAGGAGTACAGCATTTTAGGGTCTATATTAGGTCCCCTATTTGGGCGAAAGTTACGAATATTCGGAGCCTTAAAGCAGTAGGCTTCCCTCACATCACTCAAAGACTAAGGTAGGAGCCGAAATAAATATTAGCAGGGTTCAGAGTTTAGGGTTTAGGGTTAGGATCTAGGGTTTAGGTTTTGGAGTTTAGGATGTAAAGTTTAGGATGCAGGGACATATTCTGTGAGGCTACATGTCCTGATGGTGCGGCCCCTGGGTATAAAAGGAGTAAAACAAGAACCGCAAGACGGAGAATACCTACGAGGCTCTTTAAATTCCTACCATATTTTTGGGGTTCCCTGTTTGGGGTTCCCATCTAAAGCCTAAACCCTAGACCCTAAACTGTAAACCTTAAACCCTAAGCCCTTAACCCTAAACCCTTAACCCTAAACCCTAGACCCTAAACTCTAAACCTTAAACCCTAAGCCCTTAACCCTAAACCCTGATATAGCCAGGCCATGGCCTTCATCCACCAGCAGGCAGAGAATCGCTCCACTTCCACGTGTGCATCTGTGAAGGTTTCCCCAAATTGCGGGTACTTTAAAAGGGGTTACAGGGGATGTAGAGGGGTTTAGATGGAGATAATATGTAAGGGCGGGTATACTGGGTCTTGGGTTTACCAAAATAAGTGCTACCATTTTGGAGGTCCCCATATACGAGGATGATGGCATTTGGGGGTCTGTCTTGGGTCTCCCTAAAAGGGAAAATTACCAGGTATGTAAAGTAAACATAGAGGACGACGTGTATTGCCTGCACCACATACAAGTAGGGGCTGGGGATCTAAGAGCGGGCCAAAAAAGAGACCAAGACTGGCTTTGATAGAAAGCTCTGCATGCTTGGAACCATGGGCCCATAGTTGGGTCCCCAATTCTGACCGGGAAATGAGATAGGGTTTAGGGTTTAGGGTCATGGGCTTCATAGCCAAGACGTGCGAACATCTGTAGAAGTGCAGTTCCCTTGCTTTGCCAAGTATTAGGTGTCGCACTGCAGACGATTCCAAAAGTTTGGAGCGCAACCCTCCACAATCCCATATTCCCCATGCAGTGCATATTACGCAACCACAAGTCCTTTGCTGGATTTCTAGAAGTAGTAGTCTGGCAACTTACCTTCAATGCGGCGATACTTGCAATCCTGTAGACTCTAGACACCCCAAAAGTCTGAAACTTCATGCCCTCAGGGTGCTCGGCATGGGTTTAAGGTTAAGGGATAGGGGAAAGGCTTTCAGGGGGTTCAGGCTTGAAGGGGGTGGTAGGGTTAAGTGTTGAAGCGGGTTTAGGGTCAAGGTTTAAACGCTTACGGGCATTTAGGGTACAGGGTTTAAAGAGGTTTAGGGCTCAGAGCGGGGGTGTGCAAAACGAGGGCTCCCCCTCATATACACCCGAGATACTATCATCAATGCTCCTAAAGGTAGGCACCCCAAAACGGAACCCCTCTATATAGCCCGAAGTCTCCATCATTGGGATAAGATCCTTATGTAATCCCTATATAGCCCTCACAGAATTCCTAAATCTGTAGATAGTCCCAATTTAATAATATAGCCCGTATGAAGCTCCCAAGTTCCCTAAGTCCCCTGTGTACTTCCTAAATTGTAGGAATACTCTTATATATCTAAAACATACTATGCGTTGCAGAAAAACCCTCCAAGAAGTTCTAAATACTCCCACATAGCTCCCAGCACCCTAACGGCCAAACATTCAACAGTACCAAAATTTGGGGAAACCCTAAACCCCACACACCCCTATAGAACCCCTTGAAAAGGGACCCCTAATTTTGAACAACAAGCGCAGACTGTGCAGGTGGAGGTGCTGGAAGTGGTCGCCCGTGCCACGGGAACCTCCGAATGGTCAACGATGCCGCCTTTGTCTGGCCGGGCTGCAAAGAGGGTTGAGGGGATGGCCCAGGGTTTTGCATTTGGGGCCTAGGATTTGGGGTTTTAGGCTACTACGGTAGGGCTTAGGGTTAGACTTTGGGATTTAGGATGTGGGGTTTAGGGTTGAGGGTGTACCATTAGCCCCAACTACGTACACCCGCTTGGCTTGTCGGCTTGACACGTAAAACTGCAGGTAGCGGGGCTTATAGGTGGGGTCTCGATAGGGTTTTGGGTTTAGGGTTTAAGGTTTAGGGTTTAGGGTTATAGGGTTTAGGGATATGACCGCCCAAAATTGAGAAACACGTGGGCAAGAGAGTGGCAAATGTCATGGAAGCTGGTTTTATGTAGTACTCATAGGGAGTATGTAATGAAGAGGTAGGTACCTTAAAGGAGGCATAGAAAAGACCTTGTATAACCCCATCGCCCTTTTGCGAGTCTTATGAGCCACCTGGGAACTACCCACCTCGGGGCGTGCTTGATCTAGTAAGAGGAACTTGGCTACAAAGTATGGTACAGGGTTTCGAGTTTAGGGCAACAAGAACAGCATGTGATTGGACACTGTTTTGCGGAACCTTCCCTGCCCTATCAGCAATGGGCACTACTGATACCGGCGTGTGCGCAAGAATTGTTGGAGGCTGCTGGATTCTGGCGATTCGGCAAGTAAACCTTTGACTAATGTCTTGGATGGCAGGTGCCCGAAGCCAACATGCAAACATCGGCCACAAATACAAAGGTGCCTAGAGGGGTTTCCATGTCAGCTTGGAAAGTGGTGGCTCTGATAATCCCTCACATTGTGAGGCTACCTGTAACCCCAATTAGCGGCAGTTTTTATGGGTTGCAACTACTACATACTGTAGGAGGTAATTACTATTGAGCTGTAGGTAACTTGGGTTACAGGTATGGGCCCTAAACCCGAAAACCTATGCCCTAAACCCTAAGTCCCAAACCCTAAGCCTTGCGGCCTAAACGCGAAGCCATAAACCCTGAACCCATAATACGGTCTTACAGTGCGAGTCCGACCCGCATGGGCTGTTCTCAAAATCATGGGCCCCTCTTTGTTGTGGATTATATTACGGTACATGATAGGTCGGGGTACCAAAATGGGACCCTAATTTTAGGAAGTACCCCCGTAATGCCATAGCAGAACCGCAGCCAATCTGTAGATTGCAATCCAGAATCAGTCCAACGGAGTGCCAGAGATCTGTTAGGGTTTAGGGTTAAGGGTTTCAGGGGGTTTAAGGTTTAGGGTTTAAGTTTGTTTAGAGTTAAGGGGTCGACGGGGGGTTTAGGGTTGAGGGCTGCAGGGGGATGATGTAGGGATTATGCAGGGATATTATTCCCGATAATGGAGAATCAAATGGAAAAGAACATGGAACATGACATGAAAACTGGGGTTATGTAGTGGTTTACAGGCATTGTGGGTTTCCCAAAATCAGTCAAGGGTCCTCATTTGGGCGTCAGCCAGAAAAGGAGTATAGTATATTGGGATCTTTATGGGGGACCTCTATTGTGCAAACTACCATGAGTATCGCCGGTATAAGACTTGTAAGAGTGATGCTCTTGCGCTGAGAATCTGCATTTGCGAGTCAAGGCAAGGCATTTGCAGCTGTGTCGGCGCTCGAAGCAGTTCTTGGGCTGCGTCCCAAGACAACTCGTCTCTTCCTGTGCTTGAAAATGACGTGTATGTGCAAAGACTCGGGACCTGCGCAAAGCACAATCCTTTGCTAGGGGAGCCCATTTATCACCCAGAGTCTTGACTTGACACAAGTCGCTGTTGTAGAGGGCGTCTCTTGCATGTCGGTGCAACAGTTCCAGAGAGGATTCTTCAGAAGCGTGGTACATACTGTCCACTAAGAAACGTTCTACATGTCTTTCAGGAGCGTATAGGACCGTGAGATACTTGCCGAAGAAGCCTGGTCTTTCGGGATGCGCCCAGGTTGTTTCTTGGCCTCTTTGAACGAACCGACTTCAATCCAGGCCTGGCTGCGTGCCTAGCCCAGAACTCAACACATTGCCATAGATTTCTGAGCATCGGTACATCTTGACGCCTGGCTGAGACGACGACCTTGGGCCGGAAAGTGCAGGATGCCATGCTCGCCTTGCGCAGCGCTTGGTGGAGCATGCTTCTTGATCTTGCCAGACAGGCTCATCCCTGCTGCCTAAGGACTTTTTTCTTAAGCGAAATTGCCGCCGGAATGAGCAGAAATCCTGCGCCTTGTCTAGTCTACTAGTCTACTCTCAGTGTCATGGCCCATGTCTACAACCACCATGGTGACCACCGTGGCGATTGCTACCACTGCCAATGCAGCCACAGAAGCTGCCATGTGGGTCAGTCTCATGTTGCCTGAGGTTGGGAGACCATCAGAAGCTGACTGCCGAAGCGGGGCCCATAGATGCAGCTGTGCCATGGAGGGATTTCTTCAGAGCCGCAAATGTCCAGAGTTTTGCAGAGTGAGCGATCTACGGAACTTTGCGGAGGGACCACCGCAATCCCAAGAGGATACTAGACATACATACTAGACAGGAAATAAGGAAAACCAGAAAGTGTGCAGGGTATGGGGGTTGAGGTCATACCCCTGAAATTAATTTGTCCTTCAGAATTTGAGAAACCTACAAAGCACGCGATCAGCCTTTTTGAAGGTCCTCGCCTCTCATTCTAGCTTTTTATCCTTGAGGATCTTAACAAGAAAGAATATTCTATCCCAGGCCTAGGATGACTATCATCTGGGACGTCTACAAAGAGCGACCCCATATTATAGAGAAATAAGAGATGTGGAAACCTGCAGGGCTCAAGAGGCCCCCGGAATCATCCAGTGTAGATAAACTTGCGGTGTGGTGCTAGCCATGCCAGGCCGTGCATATCAATGCCTACGGCCACGCCCAGAGCCCGAAGTCTTCGATGGCTTTGCAGAGTGGTACGGCTACGGTGATGCCGATGCCGATGCACAGACAGTGGCCGGGCAGCCGAAGAAGCTAGATGGCTACCAGGAGTGGTTCGGCTACCCAGATGATATCGCTCCAACGACATCTATGTATCTGCCAGACCGTGATCCGGGTGATGACGAACAGCATGACCAGAGCCAGCGCCTGGCAATGGAAGCAACAGAGATGAGCTTGACCTTAGTACAGTCTGCAATTGAGGAAAGGCGTTGCCAGTTAGCTTCAAAGCACGGTGACGAGGCCGAGCAGCTGCAGCAGGAGATTCATCAGTTGAAGTTGCAGCAGGCTCGGCTGGCCCGGGCTTTGTGGAGCTTGCACGAGGAGACAGGCACCGGGTAAAGAGCCTGGAGCCTCATGGCCGCATGGAGAAAGTCATTTTAATTCCGTGGTGCCTTTGCGTGCGACAATCTGCTCTGGTCTGACAGTGTCAGACATGTTCCATAGAAGGGAATTGCTATGTGTCCCGAGACACATGCTGCAATCGCGGCATGCAATACGCCAAATTGTACAGCAGACGGCTTCTTGCAGTCACTTTGTCAACTGCTTTTTGCTTGCGAGCGCGGTACTTCAGAGTTGAATTCATGAGCTTGGAGTCCGCAGTAGTGTCGGGGCATACGCCTGAGGAAGGTTTGTGACCCAGAGGGTGGAGGAATGCACCCCCACCGGCTGCTGTGCTTCACCGAGCAGCTTCCTGAATTCTGAAGAGCCTACCGCTAATTCAAAATCTCACTGCAACCGCCCTGCTCCTTGGGCAGCTTAAAATTATCTTGCTGCGCCTCAGACCACGTGCACCAGGATTTGCAGCTTGCATTCGACTGCTTTGAGCAGAGCCTCTTGAATCGCCTGAGAGTTTTCGAGGTTCTCTCCGGCATTAAATTGTAATCTGTTTTGTGCATTTCTGCGAGGTCAACGACATGCGCTGGCAGCTTGCGGCATTTCGGCGCATAGCTCATGCACGCGGGAATCTCAGAAATTTACCTGTAGCTTCTAAAGCCTTTCGAGCAGCGCAAGGCCGACTCAAATGTCGTGAACCGTAAACGAGCTACAGTCAATATTAGCATTGGCCATTTTAAGGGGCCCTTAACTTAACAGTGGACATCGGGGTCCCTCTTGTCTACATGTACACTTACAAACTGAATCATCGATCCCTATGCATCCTTGTAGAACCGCGGTTTCTATTAGAAATTTAGCGCCTGGCGGCACAGGCCGGCCTGGCCGTCGCCCTTCCAAAGCCCAGCGAAAAAATGCTATTCTTGCCATCTGGTATTTTTGGTTTGGAAGTTCTTTGTTCTCTCTAGTTTAACTGAAGACGACCCAAAATGGGGTCCCAATTGTGCTGATGATGTTCCTGTACAGGGCGCGCGCACGCGCCTCGTACAGAAGCATCATCAGCACAATTGGGACCCTATTTTGGCTTGATTCAGACCAGGAGGGGTCAAAAACCCAAGAGAAGGCATCAACAACGGCATTGAACCACAAACACTGCCCACAGCGTGCATTTTGAGCGTTTTGTTGGGGTTTATAGCGCATTTTAAGCGCCCAGCAGCCCCCCCAAGAGCCAGCATCATCAGCACCACGAGCATCATGGGGCCTGCCTAGGGGCCACACAAGTGCTGGAAATATGGGAAAAAGACATTTTAAAATCATGCAATATGCACATTTTATAGGGTTTGGCCTGGGCAATGCACGCCAAACCTGTCTCATGCTTGTCATACAGTGCAGATCCTACCAACACTGGTTTCTACAGCCGCAAACACCTGCCCACAGCGTGTATTTTGAACGTTTTGTTGGGGTTTATAGCGTGTTTTAAGTGCCCTGCGGCCCCAGCATCATGAGCATCATGAGGCCTGTTTG